TGATGAGGAGTTGCACCTTGCATTCCCGGTGGTAGCTGCCAATTTTATTGGTTAGTGTTAAAAAGAAAACTATGAGTTTCTTCATATCTTCTTGCATATGACTGCTAATTCTGCAGTACTAACTTTGTACTTTTACCTATAGCTATTGAGAAGTTCTTGCATCTGTGGTTCTAGAGAACTGAAAGTTTTATAAACAATTTTGTGTATACATACCACTTACTCATCATATCATGCCCTCTCAGCAAGAAAAAGGAGGAAATATTGTGGAGTTGAAAAAGAGTAACAGCAAAAAAAAATAAAAAAAAAAATCAGTGTATTAGTTTTATCTACGCATGAAATTATATTATTGTCACTGAATACATACTACAGGGATTCAACAGAAATGGTATAAATCCTTGCAAAGGTATACATTTCAGTATTAGAATATCTGACCTCTATTTAACTGAAACAAAACTGAATCAAAAATTTAATAACTAACCTATTAGCTACTTTCTGTATGGGAACGAAGCGTTCCTAGCACCGTGGCCTATTGTATACTTTCCAGATTGTGACCTTGGCCACTTAAACTAGAGACAAGATAACTGTTCTGCTTAGAATTATAAAGTTAGTTTGCAAATAGTTGTTATCACTTCAGAAAAAAGTAGTTACAGAAAACAGTGAAAATAATAGTACCTACATGTATACATGTAATAGTTGGGAATACAGAAATTTCCTTCATCATAAAAGATACTTTAGCACTTTCCAAGCCAGTCCACAATGAGGACAATGCTATCTTTTAAATCCTGTCCCTGTTGTTATTGCACATGACATATTACATTGTACTGTACAGTGTGTGGTGATGAGAAATTCCCTGCTTATTTAATTGTGATCCTTCAATGAATTTGAAAGGGAGCACTTTATTTCCATTTCTTTAATTTACTAGTTCTTTAGCTGATGATTTTATTAACTCTTGTATTTGAGAACTGATGCTTAACAAAAAAAGGAGAAGAAAAAAAGGCCCTTGGCAGTATTGTGAAGGCCTGGAACTGAATAATGCACTTTAATAATGAGGAATAGAGCTATGGCTTTTGCTGATGGCTGTGACCGGCTCTGTGACCTGATTATGTCGCAGAGTGTCAGCAGCTGAGACACTACAAAAGGGAGCGCATCCCATCAAATCTATCTCCATTGTAATCACTCGCACTGCTGAGAGGCTTGTTAGGAGCAGGGAATCCATCAGGCCTCATTAGCACCGTTTACCATCAAGAAGCTCGAAGAGCAAACGTGTACCCTCTAATCAGAATAATGAGAACCAAAGTACTCCTATTATCTAATTGGATCAACAATGCCTCTCTCCCTATTTAGTTTCCTGAGCTACTTGTGGACTACAGCCCTCAAAAATTAGTTATTTTTTAATTGTCAGGGTGGAGCTGTGCTCAAGGTTTTTCTTATACAGAAGGTTTTCACATCTTAAGAGCAAGGCATGGGCACAATGAAGGGCAAGTTCTTTCAGGGGCATTCTTAGATTATACTGATGCAATCCCAATTAATTCACCTAATACTTAGATTTTCCTATTAATCTATCAGGAAATAAACTTTATTGCACCCACAGTTAAAATGTATTTGATCCTGTTGAAGTCAAGAAACTTATATGAATGCAACTGATGACAATTAAGAAACCAGATGCAACAACCTTGCCCTCATATTTCTGTGGCTCCTTTCCTTAAAAATATTACAAAACCAGTCAAAGTACACATTTCATATACTTAATAGATATGTAAAACCCATGCAAAACTCCTGCTATTTTCTTTCATTTGTAAAAGCATTATGAAAAAAAGAAATATTAGGTTATTAAATCTCTGAAGAATTGAAGTGCAGCAATGGCACTTGAATCCTGCTATAAGGGCAGGCTGAAGCTGAGCAGGTAGACAGTTTCTCTGGGAAATCAGTGTATCTACTGACAGGGTGCAGCCTGGCAAACCTACTAACCCGGCCTTTAAATTTAAGATATGAAAGCCTAGTCCTGCAAATGCTTTCTGGAAAGTGCTGAGGGCAAATAGAATGTAAGCAGTGTTACATGGGCCAATAGCTCTTCATAATATGCCTCTGAAATGAAAATTTGATTTAGAGTCCTCTACCTGCACTATATCAAATTAATCAGGTGATCTAATCATATTATTTCAATGGATTAGATCTCTTGGTTACTTGGGAAGCTCTGGTATTACAGTTCATATTGCCGTCCAAAGCAAAAGAAGAAAAATAAATTAACATACTATAACTGAATTCAATAATTACATAACAAATATGTTATATAAACTATTGTTAATATATATAATTTTGTTATTGTAATTGTAAGAATTTCTTGACTGTTTGGAATTAAGGCCATGCCATATGTCATTTAAAAGATCATTTCCCTAAATTTGGCATAGGATCTTGCTTTTGACCTATAGCTTAATGTCTCCAGGGATTACTGATCACCATATATTTAGCCAGACAGATGGACTTTTACAAGCCCTGAATTTCTGTAACAGAAGTAGCATATAATTACAAAGATTACACGTAGAAACATCCAGCTTCTTATTTTCAGGAGTGAATTTTGGGTGTCACACTTGTGATTCTTCGAAAGGGTCAATTTTTAAAGGACAGATTCTTAACATATGATGCAAATCTGGCTCTTTAATGACTCCAAGGAGATTATTCAGTAATGGAGTGTTCCAAATTACTATTCAGTTAAGCTTCCAAATTTGAAGAAACCCTTTCAGTTCTTGATTAAGTCCTATAATTTTATTAATTTGAAGGAATGTAATTTAATTTATGGAATGTAGTTTAATTATACTTTATAGTCCTGTTTTAAGACAGATAGCCTGAGAATTGGGCTCTAAGTAATATGAGTTTATGCTGAATATTATAAAAATGGATGTTATATTACACACTATTATCAATGTCTATCTATATTGTGGCAAGGTCTGAAGTACTGATTATAAAACAAGGAATATTGTAAAAAGAAGTAACAAAAAGACAACCTTTACTTAAAGGAGCTAAACAAACAATTAGATGCTGTAATTTTATCCAGGAATATAGAAGATTCTTCCTTTCTTTTCCCTTTCTCTGTAACCTGTGGAATTATTGGACTTTACATTATGTCTGGAATAAACAAGACTTAGCCTGAGGGAATCGATAGTTTCGTTCAGTGATATCTTCACAGTAGTATTTTTTTTAAACATACAATGAATGGCCACGCATTGCCTATGTTTTCTGTGGAGAACATGTAAAGGAAAAACTATAAAAAAACTAGTCTGTGATTTTATCTTCAACTCTTACAGTGAACATCTTTGGTGTCAAGTGCCTCATGTGAGTGGCGACTGGGAACCATTTCTAGAGCACAGACAGAAACAAGCAGGCTTCTATGTTGGAGCTGATCTAACTGTGAGTTATGGGTATTATAACCAACTTTTATTCCAAACCAATACCCCATCCCTCCAGAAATCTTAATAGGCTTTTGAGAGCCTCCATTTAAAGCTGGCTGCATAAAATGATCCTTTGATGAAAAGGGATTGAAACAAGGGTTAAAGTAGACATTGAAAGGTTATTGTAGAGGGCACATTGTTCATACAATCCTCCTTTAATATGTGTGGTGTGCACCTGCGATAAGATGATTCATTAGATAAGGCCTCACTTTGACAAGCTCCATCGTTCAACCCTCGGGGTAGTGATGGAACAATTCTGCACCCACCCAGTAAATATAAAAAGGTCAGCATTTTTTTTTCCTGGGACTTGGATGGTGATAGTGAAGCTCAGGAAGCATCTTTGTTTATGTGCTATGTTAAAAAAAAAGGGGGGTTTCCTATAAATTGTTGACTTCTATTTTTTAATGGGCCAAAATAAAAAACATCACTCCTGTTCCAATTAACTAACATGGTGACAGAAAATTATCAAGAAAAAAGCTGCTCTTAATTTTTTTCTCCCCGCTAGTAAACAGTAAAAGTAGAAACTAAACTTTAGATTCACATATCATCCAAGTTGCATCATTTCAATAAATATCTTCCAGGACCTAACATCCACATAAACACTGTGGATATCACTGTATGCCCAATTTGTAGCATTTAGAATAATGACATTCAAATTACTCAGTTACCAGGTACAGTCATAAGTTATATTGACAGATTTGTTGCAGTGAAACAAGTAATTGTGTTAATTTTAGTCCTAGTAAATGCAATAAAGAATGACAGTGGTCACAGTCTGAAAGCCACTTAAGCATGCTGCATCAAAGCAATTATTTATATATATATGGATTCAGACGCATATCTTTCTGCATCATACTAAGACTGAAATCTAAATACTTTGAACAAATAAACAGTTCCAAAATACAGATAGTGCACGATCCCTCTCTTAGACACACTAACACTTCAACATTATTCAATTTTCCTGTTTGGAAAATTTTCTTTTAACCAAAAAACTCTCCCAAATTTGCATTTACAGGCTGGCAGATTCATTACAAATTGCTTAACATAGGATAATAAGCAAATGAGAAAGCCAGCTAAATCCATCCCAATACTTCATTACAATTTATGTTCCTTTACTTAGAACATTTAATACCTTTTTAGAAATGAAGTAATACAGAAATGATACAGGAATGCAAAATTGTGTAGCACAGTACCACTTTGATACAGTTGTCTGTTATTAGGCATATATAAGTGGAAGAAGACAGCTGGTATGTTTGTTAAGAATCAGAGGATTGCTGGACTTTTAAAAATACCACAGTATTGCACTATTGTGATCTTTTCAAAGGGTTGAATTGAAATGAAACAAACCCTAAGCCTTTTCTAGCTTGAAAACACCTTCTAACAGTTCCTAACTTCCTTCCAGTTCTCAGATTTTCCATTTCTTACCTTGTCTGGCAAATCAATATTTATTTATCTTCAATATGTGCACTTTTAAATTGCTGTCATACGATGGAACTCATTTTTGTCCCAAGATCAGCCTGCCATCAGAATTCACTGTTTGCTCCATCTTCCACTCACCTGTCCTTGTGCATTAGTGACGAGTTGACCTGTGACCCCCTGAAGACTGGAGAGGGCATTGCCAAAGGCCTGGGAGCTTGCTATTGAGCCCATGGCTGCTGCTGCTGCAGCGGCTGCTGCTTGACTTGCTAGTGGATTATTAACCAGCTGAAAAAAAAAAAAAGATCATGATAAAACCCACAATAAACAAAGAAACAAGAGTGCTAACTGGATAACATAAGAGGGATTGCACAATCACTTTTAAATTATTTTAATGTTTTTTTCCCACTTAAATGTGCATAAAAACCTGTCATCTCTGAGAACTTGCGTAGTTCTGAGAGGATCTTATTTCTGGGGCTTTGACAATAAATAGTTTTTATAAAAGCAGAGAAAATTCCATGTTAATGTTGAAGAATAAAATTCTCTTTTTTAACCCAAATTCTCTTTTTCTTTTTTTTTTTTTTAATTAAGTTATACTTGATGTATTTCTTTAGGTTCAATGTGCTAATGCCACAAGTGTAGCAGCCTAATATTGATGTAAACAGCAATCGGTGAGAAATTAACATTTGATTTGAGTGGGAGTGGAATATTTACTTGGGCATATTCAGAACAGAGACTATTTTACTAATAACCCCAGAAACAAGAAAAATCTGCAAATCCTTTTAATTTTTTTCATTAAAGAATTGGTCTCAACAGCTAGATACATCACAGTAGAAGACTCAACCCTATGATTAAGTTCAGTAGAAATCAACAAAAAATTCAAAATTCATTTGCAAAATACAACACTAAGCAACTTACTGCTTTTCAACTGTGAATGATGAATTTTAGGACCCATAAATTTTCAGGAAATAAGTTGTACTTCCTGCTTTAGTCAATTCTACCTGTGTACTCCATAGAAAGCATAGAGCACAGTCATGGCTTTCACCTTAGGAGACTATTGGAATCCCATAGGAGGGAACACTCCTATCAACATTTGTGTTTATCAAACATACAAAATGTGCATTTTTCTGCCAGAAACAAAATATCCTCTGGGATATGGCTTTTCTACTGGATTATTGTGAAGTTTCTATTTTCTTATCCTCTTCTGAGAATGGACAAAGTTTGAACCAAGCATAGAGGGATGACAGTAAAAAAGAATAAAAATGTTAGGAACCATCATCACTAGGACAGCTGTCTTGAGAATAATCAAACTAACTGAGTTCAAGAGCCTGAAAATATATTTTAGAGTGCATTTGCCTCCTAAGAGTCACGGCACTATAGTAGAACTTGCAAAATGCACATTAGCAGGATACAGCAGCCAGAAATTTGAGGGAGAAAACTAGGGACATTTTTTCCTAAACTGAGATGAAAATGCTGGAGCTCACTCAGAAAAGCTTAAGGTCTGAGCTGAAATGAGTAGTAGTTTTAAGCCCTTAGATGATGAGTAAATTATCAATCCTGTAGAACCAGAGAGTCATAGACACCAATAAGGGATGTACTTCACAGATAGGCTCCCCTTCAAAATAGGTTATAAAAAATTTATCAGTGATTAGTAGATGTTTTAAGCATGTTACAGATATGAGTAGTGTGTATGTTATAGATGTTTAGAAGCTCATCAATAGAATATGTCAGATATGGTTATAATCTATGCTTATAAGAAACCCACTTGTCTGTTGGAAATTGCAAGATCTACAATTGATTGGTCATACATTAAAACATCTATTAATCATTCATTAGCCCTTCATAAAGTATTTATAAATGGAATCTTGATATAAAGTGTTGCTTAAAGGGGTGCCTTGAGCATATCCAATCCCTCTAGAAATTGTAAAGTAAATAACTAAATAAAGATTAGTAGCACTGCCAGACAGAAAAGATGACATTATTTGGAGGAAATATTTTGATTTGGAAAAAATTGATATATGAATCTTTAAAAGCAGTCTGCAGCATCCCATGGCAAGAAAATCAAGCAGGAATAAAATCCAAAGGTGGAAAACTGCAATGAGTGCTTGATTAGCAGTCCTGATGAGCTGTGAAGAGAGCTGAGACCAGCACAATGACCAAGGCAAAGCTCAGTCCCTGGATGCAGACATCAAGCAAGTCCACTGACTGCCCAAGGTGTGAGCTCAAACATAGCTGCACCCACTCCTCAGTGATTTGGGTGGTGGTGCCTGAGCACAGCAGTGTAATGTCAGATATCAATATAGATAAACTTGCAGGTTTTCTGCTCAAAACAATGACATTTCTTTATTGTCCAGATCAGGAGCTGGTAAACTCTAACTTTTTCCACAACACTTCATGGGCAGTACTGGGCCTTGAAGTAATTCCCTTATAGCTGTAAATACTTGGAGAAGATAGGGTCAGCAGCAAAAGCGTAAGACTCAGAAAAGGCCTTCTACAATCTTGTTAATAACCCACAGATTACTGCACCTCTGATCCTACAGTATCTGACTGCAGGTATAAATGATAATCTTTGGACAGTTACCTGACAAACAACACTGGCTGCTATATTCAGGGCTTCAGTGGCATATGGGAACAACCATCCACAGCTGGGAACAACTTGAGGAACATAAATAAGCTTGTGAAGCTGGAAACTACAAAGGGTTAAAACCTTCTAAAAATCAGACTATCATCTTCTAGAATCTCTTTTCCATTTTTCTTGCTCCAGTTTTCAAAAAATGTACATTTTCAAATACAACAATAAAATTAATTTACAACAAACCCTGGAGACACTCAGAATTGCTTTTAGTTGCATCACAGAGATAAGCTACTTATTAAAAATGATGGCAGAGGCTGTGATATGCATAGGTACCCTGCATAGTACCGTGTTCCAGGAAAAAGCACCATGAATGTGCCAACTTACAGGGTAGGACACTTCCAAGTGCATATAAAACCATTCCTATCTATTAATAAGTCTGATTAATAAATAGAACATGTATTTTTCTTTGACTGCTTTGGGAAGCTGTTGACTGCAAGTTATGCTCTGTTAAACTGACCCCTTTTACATTGTATGAAAACTGGGGATGGAGAAACATCTTATTTCATTATGCCTGGATGCCAAGGTAACACATAGAATCTTCTTTTTGTTTTAAAAATAAAATCTCTGACTTGAGAGGTTTATGCTATTTCTCAGTGCAGGTTGGATCCCTAAGAATATTTATTAGAAATATATTATGAAAAATCCCACAAAGGCTCTACCCATTTTGTTTCTGTGTTTAAATAGTGATTTAGTTTGGAAGGCTGAAACATTTCAAGCTGTCAATTCCATTGCCCAAATTTCTGCTCACACTCAAAACACCAGCCATAACTGTAGGTAATAGCGATCTTAGTTTAAAGTGGCAGGCCAGCCCTCTTAAGGATGCCTCCGCTAATGACATGATTATATCAGGAAGCAAACTTTATGCAAAAGAATCTTCTAATAACTGAGCAGGTTTAATGTTTAATACACTTTTCTGAATTCCCAAAGCTGAACTTTGAAAGTAAAGCATATGAAAATTGTTCTGCAGTAACTCAATAGAAGCAGAAGACATTCCAGTGCAGGAAATAAAACTCACACAAACAAAACTAACCTGGGAAATGATGGGGGATGAAAGAGGCACTACTTACAAGATCCTAAAACTGTGCCATGTGACGTGAGTGTTTCCATGGTTAAGAGATTGTCTTCAAAAATAATTTCAAGGAAAGTGTGATAGACTCAATGCTGCAAGCAGCTTTCTTGAGAGGCACAAATACTTTCTCTTTTGTAAGAATACCATCTTCCTCTTTGTCTCCGAATCTAACTTAGTATTTTATTGAACTTGCTGTGAGAAACTGATTTCCAGACCAGAGGAGACAAAATTCAGTAGGATATGCCTTTTAGAGAAAAAAGTAAAATTACTGTGTAGGTTATCAAATCTGATCTTGTATTCAACAGTACATGAATGCTTGATCAAAGAGCCAGCTTTACTCATTACGATAATGCTCATTCTACAAATATACAGAAAAAACCAAACAGTTTTACTGATGAAAAGCCAAGCCATTTCAGGATGCCAGAGCATCATATGAAAAAATGGGCCTATAACCTGAAAGGTAAAGTCACTTGAGACAGTGCCAGGATCTTGTGCGTTTTCTAAAGGACTTGTAGAGCAGTGAAGACACATCATCTGAATGCAGCAATGGAGAATGAAAGGACATACTGTGAAGTAACAGCAAGCATAACTTCATTTTACAAAATAGTACTGGTGTTTTTCAGGGAGAATGTTTAAAAAATCACATTTCTGGATATCTTCTAGAGATTAGGTTAGTGTAGAAAAGTAGTATATTTGGTTAGGGACCAAGAGATCCTCAGTCTCATGTTTTCTGACTATCCTTTCTGTAGAAAGCATCACACTACTTGATAAGCTACTAAGATTGTTTGCTTAAACCAATGCTTTTCAAGGGAAAACAGAAATATCTCTAAAACTTGAGAAGAATTCAGCAATGGCTCGCAGTAGAAGCACATGACATTTTTCTTTTCTATCCCTAATAAGTGAAAATTGATTACAGAAATGGAATTTTTTTATCAGCATGGCATTTGCTTTTGTAGGAATTTTTAACCAAGAATCTATGAATTTTCTCAGAGTTTAAATTATGAGAGAATTACACATTAAAATATAGTTGAGTTTGTTCCCATTTTTAACTCATTGGCTCTTGAGACAGATTCTGTGTAGTAGTCACCTGGCCTTAAGGAAGAAAGACTGTTTCAAACTGAGCACAGGCTCCTGAGGATATTCTGATACCTTCTTTTTTACTGTGATCAGCATTATCATCTGAAGTGGGTGTAGACAGAAAGGTTTTGGTACTGGGAGAGCTGCAGAGTAGGAGAATAAAAAGCCCAGAGTGAACATGACAAAGGAAACACCAAGATCAAAGAAAGGAGAATGAGGAGGAGGTGCTCCACTGCACAGAAGATACCCCCATTGCAGCCCTCAAAGGACAAATGGATATTTCCCGATGAGAATTGTGATCTGTGGAGATCCCATGCAGAAGCAGGGGAAAAACATGAAGAGAAAGGAGAAGGAGGGGGGAACTATTGTTAACTGACCACAACTCCCCATGTCCCCTGCACCACTGGGGTGTAGGAGCAAAGCAGTGAAGTTAAGTCTGGGAGAGTGTGGAGAAAAATTGTTTTAATATTTGTCTTAGTTTCTCACTAACTGAATCTATTTTAATTG